AATAAGATATAATAATTTCTTTCTAAATACATATTCTAAACATCTTATACAAATAAAGACTAATCTAAAATATCTTCTTCTAAGAAGGCTGACTGAAAATATTTTTCAATAAAATTACTAAAATTCCACAATTTTGTATGAAATATATAAATGAATATTTTTTTACTTTTATATTATAGTACATCATTGGCAATTCCATTATTAAACTACTTGTTTCGTTACGTAACTTAGCATGATCGTTAAATTGACAAATAAAGAAAAAAACTGGAAAAATATGCAAACATATAATTCCACTAACCGTGTACAATAACATGAATACGCAGGATGCAGAAAGAGATGAAGGAACATTTGCAAATTTTGTCAGAGAAGCTTCTGAAGGCAATCACTTTACGAATAACTGATGTAATGCAACGTACAATTCGCGAAAACGTGGCGTTGAATCGCGATCTTGATCAACTACTGAAGACCAATAGAGAACTCGAAACCATCAATGTCGAACGCAAAAAAGCGGAGCAAACATTGAGGCTGAGATGTAAACTGTTCGAAACCGAGTCGAAGATAACGTTGTCGAAAATGTTGAAACAGAGGGACGCGATTCATCAAGTGGCAATGGTGAAAAGCGTGAATTTAAATTTGAACTTGCATGTTCATTAACAATCCAGAATACAGAAATTTTAAATTTTCAAATAAACGAAAAGTTCAAACAGAATATTTCACAATGAATGGTAGAAACTAGAATAGGGTGATTCTACATGTAGAAATGAATCGAAAATATAGCATAACTTTTTTTTACACTTACAAGTGCCCCTACAAGTACAATAACTACAAGTTTCATCTGTTGCAGTTTTCAACAAATGAAGCTCTCAGTGTTTTTATTAATTAATATTAAAAAAATTGAAAAATACTTATTTGTTTATTATCTTTATTGTTTCTTCCTTATTTTCAGTTTATTTTTACATTTAAAATTACTTCATATTTTATTGCACTTGTGGATGCGTCTTGAATATAAATATTTCGAATCTTTTAACAGATGAAAATTTTGTAACAGAAAAATAAAAATTTCTCAGGAATATCAATCACTGATAACATACTATGGACAAGTGGAGAGAAGCAATATTCGTTTCAGAGAATTACAAGGAATTTTAGAAGATATCATTAAACGAAAAGATGAGGTGTTGAACAAGAAAATTAAACGATATGAAGAAAATGTTTTAATAGCGAGAGACGAAAACAAACGTTTGCTGGAAGAAGTTCGAAAAAATGAAAAACAATTAGACGCATTGAAAGATATTTTAAATAATGCTAGTACCTTTCTTAACGAGGTTTTGCAGGTAATTAAACAGTTTTTTAAACAGAATTAATTTTAGCACTTCTCTTTAATATTTATATTCATAGTGTTATTTTATGATAAATTTATAACATCATTCGTGTTAAGTAAGATAATTTAAAAAAAGAATGACATTTATTATTTGAGCACATATATTTACTTAGTTTTTGAAGTTTATTGCATAAGAAGTAATAAATAAAATGCTAGTTCAAATAGTGTAATAAAATATTAAAATATTTAGTAATTATACTCATAATTATAATACTGCTTTAGATCTCTTTATTATACTCCTTTTGTAAACATTTTTATTGTTTAAGATATAATTTGTAACAAATTTTATAAATTAATGAAATTTTCATAGGTTGCAGAAGAATCTTACAATAATCAACAGTGCATTGGGTATATGGTACCAAAGGTGCTTCACTCCCTTCTTGAAATATTACAAACTGATACTATTACTGGTGCTATAGATTATACCCCATCAGAGGTGCATATTATTTTATGGAATCTGACTAATAAAAACAAATTAAATGTTCTGTCAACGTTTTTTTTTCCTTTTAATTAATTAATACTAAAATTACGTTTATCTTGGGTATAACAGTTAACGTTTTTGTTGATTTATAGATTAGTAAAAACTTAAATTACTTCATGGAAAATATTAATTACCTAATTAAACCATACATTTGAGATCCTAATATTCTGTGTATTCTTATGTTGAAAATATTTATTGTGAAAATTAAAATTTTATCTTAGGAGTTTATTCATGTTCTAAAAGTCATGTATATTTTATAGATTGATAATATTAGTTGTAAATATACAATGGGATGTCTGGGTCTTATCGAACCTGTTAAAGAAAAAAAAAGTAGCACTATAAAAGAAAAGGAGGATGTTCAAGAAGATTTAAAGGAAGACTTATCAAAAAGTTTGGAACAAATACCATCTTATTTATTAAGTGATGTTAGTTCTAGTATCTCATCTCCTAAGGATTAATCAATTCACAGTTGTAAATTCTAATTTTAGTCAGTCTATTATTGTTATACTGTTATGTTTAATTATACAGATTGTAAAAAATAAATTATACAGTATGAGAAAAACAATATTTTGTTTTTTGAAACAATGATTAATATTCCATTCATATTAAAGATTTTATATATTTTTTCAGTACAAAGCTGACAATAATATATTTTACTATAACTTGCATGTTATAATCACAAGATTTATATAATTACAAAATAATAACATTGTGACATCAAATATTTTATATGTATGAAGAAACATAACTAATTTTGTAAAAAGTAATGTACTTATTATATTATCGAAAAATTGAAATAAAAGAAATGGATTTTATCTTATTTATCGTTAGTAAACTTATGAAAAAGTAATTACTTAAAAAGTTAAAAGATTTAAAAGTTTTCACTTCTCCCTTACAAACAACATCCATTTCGCTTTATGAAACACTCATTCGTTAAATAATATTCAATTACAAAATTAAATAAAATAAGTCCTAATCGTTAGGAACGTCTAATAATCGAAAAAATCGAAAAAATTCCGAAATTCGAACGAAAAATTTCAAAAATTGCGTAAAAATAACGTTGAAAATGTAGACTACTTAAATAGTTATGTAAAAAGCATAATATACAAAATTTTAAATACAAAAATGTTTACAAAAGGAATTATAAAAATATTTAGTTAAAAGACATTTTACTTATAAGATTTCATGGGTTAT